TGCGCCTGTAATCCCAGCTACTTGGGAGGCTGAGGCAGGAGAATTGCTTGAACCTAGGAGGCGGAGGTTATAGTGAGCCAAGATCGTGTCATTGCACTCCAGCCTGGGCAACAAGAGCAAGACTCTGTAGAAGAAAAATGTTGTTATATTGGAGTGTAAGGTACTCATGTTTTTGTGGCAATTGGCCCCAAGAACCTCAAATAAGTTGCAGGCCTCTGTTTTAATCTCTGTCACTGTAGCTCCCCAGTTAAAGATCTCAGATGACCGGCTAACTGTGGTTGGTGAGAAGGGCTACTCTATGGTGAGGGCCTCTCATGGCGTACGGAAAGGTGCCTGGTACTTTGAAATCACCGTGGATGAGATGCCACCAGATACCGCTGCCAGACTGGGTTGGTCCCAGCCGCTAGGTAAGCTGGGACCTTAATACGGACATCACAGCAGATAGAGAGGACAGACTATCTGGCTAAGGGCTAAGGCTTCAAGGCGTTGGGTTGACCAGATTGTGGGCATAGAATTCATTTCCTAAGGGTTGAGCTGGTTTGCAGTTCCCAGGATATTTTTGTATTCTTTGCTTGTGAGAAAGTTTTTAAGGAATTTTACAAAATTGACCAAGAAACAAAAAGGAATAGAATCTTTTTCCTTCAGCAAACTAGATTTGACTTGCAATCTTCTGACTTATTGTCTATCTTTTTATTGGGACAGGTAATCTTCAAGCTCCTTTAGGTTACGATAAATTTAGCTATTCTTGGCGGAGCAAAAAGGGAACCAAGTTCCACCAGTCCATTGGCAAACACTACTCTTCTGGCTATGGACAGGGAGATGTCCTGGGATTTTATATTAATCTTCCTGAAGACACAGAGACAGCCAAGTCATTGCCAGATACATACAAAGATAAGGTGAGTTTGTCCTCTCCCAGCAGATTTCTGGCTGTGAAGACCTGTGGCAGCTAGTGCCTATTGCTGCAGCTTATGTGTTTTCTCATGAGCTGACCCATGGCTCACGTTTTTTCCTAACCTGTTGTTACAACATTTTCAGAATAACGATAACGGTCAGTGCCCAGATAGTCATACATTCATTCTTCTACCCACCTATCATTTGGTTTTTTTTAGTGCACTACAGAGAAAATGGCAGACATCAGGACATTTCCCCACTAAGTACTTCAGGATACATAAACTAGAGTTCAACCAGTTTAATTCATTCTTTTGATAACAACATTTATATAAAATGAAGTATGGCTGGGTGTGGTGGCGTGTGCCTGTAGTCCCAGCTACTCCGGAGGCTGAGGTAGGAGGATCACTTGAGCCCAGGCGTTCTGGGCTGTAGTGCGCTATGCTGATCAGGTGTCCACATTAAGTTTGGCATCAATATGGTGACCTCCCGGGAGCAAGGGACCATCAGGTTGCCTGAGGAGGGGTGAACCAGCCCAGGTCGGAAACGGAGCAGGCCAAAACTCACGTGCTAATCAGTAGTGGGTTCACGCCTGTGAATAGCCACGGCACTCCAGCCGGGGCAACATAGTGAGACCCCCATCTCTTTAAAAATAAATAAATAAATAAGAAAAAAACAAAGTATGGCCAGCCACAGTGGCTCACGCCTGTAATCCCAGTACTTTGGGAGGCTAAAGCTGGTGGATCACCTGAGGTCAGCAGTTTAAGACCAGCCTGGCTAACAAGTTGAAACCCTGTCTCTACTAAAAATATAAAAATTAGCTGAGTGTGGTGGCGGCGGGCACCTATAATCCCAGCTACTTAGGAGGCTGAGGCAGGAGGATCACTTGAACCCGGGAGGCAGAGGTTGCATTGAGCTGAGATCGTACCATTGCACTCCAGCCTGGGCGACAAGAGTTAAACTCTTATCTCAAAAATAAATAAATAGTAAAATAAAATAAAATGAGGTATACAAATTTTAAGTGTACATTCACTGAGTTTTGAGTCTGACCTAAACCCGTATTGAAATGTAGGCTCCACTAGGCATGATGATTCACACCTGTAATCCAAACACTTCGGAAGGCCAAGCTGGGAGGATTGCTTGAGCCCAGGAGTTCAAGACCAGCCTGGGTAACATCACAAGACCTCATCTCTATAAAAGATTAAAAAAATTAGTATGACACGGCAATCGGTGCCTATAGTTTCAGCTACTTGAAAAGCTGAGATGGGAGGATCATTCAGCCTAGGAGTTCAAGGTTACAGTGAGTTGTGATCACACCATTGCGTGGCAAAAAAAACAAAAAAACAGAAATGTACACTCTTACCCTCACTCGGGAAGCTTCCTCTTGCCTTTTTCCAGTGAGTCCACGTGCCCACAGAGGCAACCACTGTTTTAACTTTCTTTCCCACGTACTTCAGTTTTTGCCTCTTCTTGAACTTATTTAAATGGGTTCATGTAATTTGTGGTCTTTTATGTCTGGCTTTTGAGACTTATCCATGTTGCTGTGTATATCTGTGGATCCTTTTCAGTGCAGAGTAGTACTCCATTGCTTGAATGTGTCCCAGTGTGTTTATCCATTTTCCTACTGACAGACACTTGGGCTGTCTCAGGTTGAGGCTGTTATGAAAAAGATGCTATGAATATTCTTGTACAGATCTTTCTGGATCATAGGATAGTTACATATTTAATTTCATAAGAAATTGCCAAAGTGTTTCCACCATGTATGAGAGTTTTAGTTGCTGACATTTATGATCATCAGCTTAATTTTAGCCATTTTGATGGGTATGTAGTGGTATCTCATGAGTTAAATTAGCATTTCTTTGATGACTGATATTGGGCATTTTTCATGTGCTTTTCAGTCACTCATCTATTTTTTTGTGAAGTTTCTCTTCAAATATTTTGCCTGTTTTTCAATTTGGGTTATGTATTTGTTATTGTTGATAGGAGTTCTTTATATATTCTGGAGTACAGTTCATTGTCAGATAAATATATATATATATATGGGTTTTTGTTTTTTTTTTGAGATGGAGTCTCACTCTGTCACTTAGGCAGGAGTGCAGTGGTACGACCTTAGCTCACTGCAACCTCCATCTCCCGGGTTCAAGCAATTCTCCTGCCTCAGCCTCCCGAGTAGCTGAGATTACAGGTGCTTGTTGCCATGCCCAGCTAATTTTTGTATATTTAGTAGAGATGGGATTTCACCATGTTGGCCAGAATGATCTCGATCTCCTGATGTTGTGATCCGCCCTCTTTGTCCTCACAAAGTGTTAGGATTACAAGCGTGAGCCACAGCCCTTGGCCACACGTGTATTTTTTAATTTTGAAGACAGAATATGCCTAGATTCTCTGGAAGGATACCAGCACACTGGAACAGTGATTACTTTTTGCAAGCGAAACTGGGGATATGGGACATAGTGAGAGAGACTTCATTTTACATGCTTGTATATCTTGGGAATTATTTTTTTCTAACCATCCTTAATATATATATGTTAAGAAATTGAAATGTTTAAAATTAATGTCATCTGTTTCTCTGGGAGTGAATAGTCCAATACACTCTTAAGAACCAGTAAGAGCCGGGCATGGTGGCTCACGCCTGTAATCCCAGCACTTTGGGAGTCTGAGGCGGGTGGATCACGAGGTCAA